TATCAGATGATAAAACTGAAACCCAGAGAGGTTAAGCAACCTCTCCAAAGTCACACAGCTTTTTGGCAGCTGTTCCAAGACTCCTGCCTTCTGCCCTTGCAATGAGATGTTGGTTGCTGCAATGACGATGCATCCTTTTGGTCATATCATCTTGGAATAAATGTTAAGAGTAACAGCTGTGTAGACCCAAGGCTTTATTTTCTTTATTATGACAACATGTCCCTGGGAAGAAAATATTTGTAGATCTAACTTTTGGATGTGAAGTAAGTGTCAAACTGAAATGTTATTGACTCAATGGTGCTTCCTACTTTGATAAATGTATCCAATATGTTCCCAGTGACTCATCGGCAGGGCGAATGTATCTTTTTTTCCCTTTTTCCACACTGACATTTTTATTCTTCTACACAGTGCTGCCCCTAAAATCTGCATATACAGCATTATCAAATTTCATCCCAAAATTAATAATTTGATTAGTTATTCAAAATCTCAAGCATCCTGACAACCAGCAATCAAGGGGTGGGGTGGGGGAGAATAATGTCAAACTGATGATTTATCTTTGTTTTTTTCTCCCACAAATGAGCTCTCTCAGACAACTTATTGGAAAATCGTGAAAGGATGTTTTACTTCATCACTATATCTGGAACATCCCTAAAAGAAATGAAGGATTTTTCTAAACCATAGGTTGGTCCTTGATATATTATCTTTCTTACAGAAAAAAAAAAAAAAATCAGACAGGGGGCTATAATGCAATGGTTTTATTTTCACGGTGTCATAAAGAGATTTAGAAAGATCCCATACTGAACACTGTGAAATAAAATTAGTGATGGAATAAGTGAAATGAGAGTTTTAAGATTAAAAATATGCTGAGATGGGGGTGCCTGGGTGGTGCAGTCTGTTGAGCAACTGACTCTTGATTTCAGCTCAGGTCGTGATCTCAGGGCTCAGGGTGGTGAGATCGAGTCCTGCTTTAGGCTCTGCACTCAGCGTGGAGTCTGCTTAAGATTCTCACTGCCTCTCCCTCTGCCCACTCCGCACCCCACCCCACCCCCACATGTGCGCGTGCTCTCTCTCTCCAAATAAATAAATAAATCTTAAAAAAAAAAAAAAATCTGGGGCGCCTGGGTGGCTCAGTTGGTTAAGCGACTGCCTTCGGCTCAGGTCATGATCCTGGAGTCCCGGGATCGAGTCCCGCATCGGGCTCCCTGCTCGGCAGGGAGTCTGCTTCTCCCTCTGACCCTCCCCCCTCTCATGTGCTCTCTCTCATTCTCTCTCTCTCTCAAATAAATAAATAAAATCTTAAAAAAAAAAAATCTGAGACCCTTAAGTGGAAAACACTATGCTGGGAAGAAACATGGTGTACAAAAGACTAGGGCTGCTGATTTTAATTAGCCTCAGGTATCCTTTCCCCAAAATGTATGACAGAAAACAAATCCCCTAGAACAGATCTTTATAAGAACAGTTATAAGGTCCTTTATAACTTCTATGTATTTAAAGAACTTTGAATGCCAGAAGGCACAAAAAAATAGGAACTCTCTCAATGTACATACATACAGAAAATATGAAAATAAATGAAAAGCAAAATAAATGTGTACATTATCTATGCAAGTGTCCTATGTCTTGAGACAGTGGATTGTAACTTCTAATAACACAGCAGAATTCTGTACCCCTATACACAGGTTCTCCAGAAATGTAGACATTTTGCAATTAGCACATACACCAGTGTTTTCACTTTAATGATAGATAAGTAACAAACAGAATCACCAGCAATTCATTACCTTTCAACACTACAAAAATCTCTGACAATACCTTTTTATGAATTTGACCTGAGGCTGCTCACTGGAGGGAACAGAAATTGCATCTGACACAGTAATGTGCTTTAACTGTAAAAGGCCTTAAAAGATAGGGCGTTCCCAAAATGAATAGGAAAAAGACCTCCCCAAAGCAGTGGTCAAAATCTTTTGTTTAATCAATAGCATTTGGTTTAACACCAGTAGTTCTCAGACTTGGAGGCTCATTATAATCACCTGGAGAGCCTTTACTACTCCCAGCCTGGGCTGTACCCCAAACCAATTAAACCAGAATCTCTAGGCGTGGGACTCAAGCATCTATATGGGGTGATTACAATGTGCAGCCAAGCTTCAGAACCTCTGATCTACAGATAAGCCATCCCTGATGACTGTATTATTGGCCTCAATTATTCACTCTCTTTTACTAGTGCTACACATTCACATCCTTGAGCTACTCTCTCTGTGGGCAAGGGTGCTTCCCCATGCCCTGACTTTGGATACAGTCATGTGACTTGTTTTGGCCAATGGGATGTTAGCACATGATATGCGCAAAGGCTTGACATGTGCTTGGTTGATGGGCTTGCTCTCTTGTACACCTACCTGCCTTTGGCCATGAGCAGAGCAGGTCTCTGTCAACTCCTGTCCCAGGAAGAATAAGAGATGCAAAGAGCAGACCGAAACCCAGTCAGCCACCTGGAGCCAACGCCAGCTGAACCCTAGCTTGCTTACAGACATAAAAATTGGAAATAAACGTTTGTTGCTGTACACCACTGAATTTTGGGATGGTTTGTTATGCAGCGGTTTTGTATAATAGGTAACTGAGATACCTAAAATAGAAAAAAAAATATTTAGTGAGAAGGCCAACTACATTTTGGGGCCAACTACTTTTCTTCTGGCATGACAGAGAGGGACAATTCAGAACTATTTCTAAAGGAAAGTTTGACCCATAATATCTACTATGATGTAGCTTTTTGGAACAGTGCTACTGTCTTTGTCACCCTTCTGATCTGTTAAGCAGAAAATATTTCCTGCTGACTTCTTACTGAGGTTCACACAGGCCTTCCATCTAAATATCTATCTCCACCAGGGCAGAAACTGGCATTCTGAATCATCAGTGCCCCAGGCTAGTTTGATGGCATTCTTTTTTATTTTACTTTTTCTTTTTTCTTATTTTTAATTTTTAAATTTTAGCTCTATCCAAGCTTTTTGTGGAAGAACAGAAAAACACTATGTAACCACCACCCAAATAATGAGACAGGCATAGCTTAGTTGTGGTAGGGTTCCTTACTTGGGGCTGGGAGACTGGTGGTTGTGCTGGGGTCATAGGCCAAGTTAGGCACATAGGGGCATGTGTCTCTTCTCTCATAAGAAGAGCCCTCCTTTAGGATTCATAGTTGTTCATCTCTGTGCATTTAAAAATCAGGTGGGCTTGAATTTAGGACAGTGGTCTTCAAATTGAGGGTGCACCAGAATCACAAGGAAGGCATTTAATAACATGAATTGCTGGACTGCACCCCCAGAGAGTCTCACTGCATGTGAGACCAGAGATTGGTATTTCTAACAAGTTCTCTGGGTGATGCTACTGCTGATGATCTGGGGACCACACTTTGAGAACCACTGACTAGAATGAAAAGTATGTATGTGTGAGATGTCTTCCATTTGGAACATTGCCTTGCATAAGGAGGATTCTTACGTTCTTCCTCAGTGGAAAAATGTCTGTATATAACACTAAGAATAGGTTCACCTGGAGAATATAAATGGAGTCAGGGACCTCATCTCTCTTGGCAAAAAGCTCATCTCAACCATAACCGTAACCCATAACCACTTCCCAAATGTTTATCTTTAGTCCTGACTCCAGGAAAAACAACTCATGAAATACCTTCTTTTCAACGAAGATTTCCTTGTTTTCTCCAACACTGGCTCTTTCTTCTGAAATTCTAGAACTTTATCTTAACCTGTCCTAAGGCATTCAACACTTAATATCTAAAATATAGGTACTGATGGACTTGTCTTAGCTCCTCACAGATGATGTACAATCTATCTGATTCATCTTAGAATGTCTTACAGCATTTTTTCTAGCAGGTGCAAAATAAATATTTATAGAATCAAATCAAATCTATGAGTGAATGTCCATGTGAGGGTGTCTTGGAAGTTCAAAAGATTAAAACTCGAAATGAAACGCCTGCACCATCAATATGATAACCACTAGCTACATATGGCTATTTAAGTTAATTGATGTTAATAAAATTAAAAATCCAGTTCTAAGCTATACTAATCAGGACAGTGTGGTATTGGCAAAAGAGTAGACAAATAGATCAATGGAACAGAATAGAGAGCCCAGAAATAGACCCACATAAATATAGTCAACTGATCTTTAACAAAGGAGCATAGTCTTTTCAATAAATGGTGCTGGAACAACTGGACATTTACATGGAAAAAAAATGAACCTAGACACAGACCTTACAACCTTTCACAAAAATTAACTCAAAATGGATCATATGCTTAAATGTATAACATAAAACTATCAAACTCCTAAAAGATAACAAGAGAAAATCTAGATGGCTTTCAGCATGGTGATGACTTTTTAGATACATCATAGGCATGATCCATGAAAGAAATAACTGATAAGCTGGACATGATTAAAATTAAACTTTTCTGCTCCGCAAAAGATAGTATCAAGAAAATGAGAAGACAAGCCACAGACTGGAAAAAAAAAATATTTACAAAGGACATCTGATAAAGAACTGTTATCCAAAATATAAAAATAACACTTCAAAATCAACAATCAGAAAACAAAAACTCAGTTTAAAAATGGGCAAAAGACCTGAACAGACACCTCACCAAAGAAGATATACAGATGGCAAATAAGCATATGTAAAGGTCCACATCATATGTCATTAGGAAAATGCATGTTAAAACAATGAGATACTAGTATATGCCTATTGGAATGGCCAAAATTCAAAACACCAACATTACCAAATGCTGATGAGGATGTGGAGCAATGGGAACCCTCATTTACTGCTGGTGGGAATGCAAAATGGTGCAGCCTCTTTGGGAGGGAGTTTGGTAATTTCTTAAAAAACTCAACATACTCTTACCATATAATCCAGCAATTGGGCTCCTTGGTATTTACCCAAGGAATTGGAAACTTATGTCCACACAAAAACCTGCACATAGGGTGTTTAGAGCAGCTTTATTCACAATTGCCAAAACTTGAAAACAACCAAGATGTCCTTCAGTTGGTGAATAGATAAACTGTGGTATATCCAGACAATGGAATATTATTTTGTGCTAAAAAGAAATCAGCTATTAAGTTATGGAATGAGGAAATTTACATGCGTATTAATTACTAAGTGAAAGAAGGCGACCTGAAAAGGCTATATATATATATTCTGTGTGATGTTCTGGAAAAGCTAAACTATGGAGACAGTAAAAAAATCAGTGGTTGCAGGGCACCTGGATGGCTCAGTCAGTTAAGCATCTGCTTTCGGCTCAGGTCATGATCCTGGAGTCCCAGGATCGAGCCCCTTGTTGGGCACCCTGCTCCGCGGGGAGCCTGCTTCTCCCTCTGCCTGACGCTTGTGTTCACTCTCTGTCTCTCTCTCAAATAGATAAATAAAATCTTTAAGAAAAAAAATCAGTGGTTGCTAGGGTCAGGGAGAGGGAGGGATGAATAGGAGGAGCAGAGAGTATTTTCAGGGCAGTGAAACTGCTCTGTTCAATATTATAATGGCGGATACATGTCATTATACATTTATCAAAACCCAAAGGATGTACAACACCAAGAGTGAACCTTAATGTAAATGATGGACTTTGGGTGTGCCAATGTAAGTTCATCAGTTGTAACAAATATACCCCTCTGGTGTGGGATGTTATGGGGGGACGTGGTGAATATATAGGAGCAGGAAGTATATGGGAAATCTCTGTACTTCCTGCTCAGTTTTGCTTTGTGTTCTGTTTCCTGAGAAAGACTTTTAGCAACTTAGATGCTGGTCTCTAGGGCCATTGTAGCCTCATCCCTGAATGCCACTAAGGTTTGGTGTGCACTTTTTACCTTCTCTGTAAGACATAATAGTTCTGTCTCTATTTTCCCTAGACTCCAGCTCAATACCCTGCAAGTAATAGGAGAACAATGAAGATTTTGTAAAATGACAAGATAGATGTCATTTAACTCTCGACCCAGTGATACCCCAGTTGAACACTAGTGATTACTCTAAATCATCATACACCTACTATGTGCCATATATGTTCCATATTAGCACTATCCAACAGATATATAAAGCAAAGCACATACAAATTTTATATTTTCAGTAGTCAGATTTTTTTTAAAGATTTTATTTATTTGTCAGAGAGAAACAGAGAGCACAAGCAGAAGGAGCATCAGGCAGAGGGAGAAGCAGACTTCATCCCAGGACCCTGGGATCATGACCTGAGCCACAGTTAAGACACCTAACCGTCTGAGCCACCCAGTTGTCCCCCGTAGCCAGATTTTTTAAAGTTAAAAGAGATGAAATTAACTTGAGCAGAATATTTTATTTAACCCGATAGATGCAAACTGTTATCATTTCAACATGCAATCAATATAAAACTATTAATGAGACACTACATTTTTGTGTACTGTCTTCAAACTCTAATGTTGGTTTTAATACATATCATATAGTTCAATTTGGATTAGCCACATTCCAAGTATTCAGTAGCCACTTGTAGCTAGTGGTTACTGTACTGGACAGGGCAGTTGTATACAGTATTTTATTAAATCCTCTAAGATGACTAAGAATAGTAGCAAAATTTTGAGTGGCACGCATTCTAGAAGAACATCTCATCTACCCTCCTAACAACCTTCATCTGTAGATGAGGAAACGGACCTAGACTGCTCCTCTGTGGCAGGGCTGGGTCTGGAATTCCTGCTCTGAGGCTACCAGGTCAGGCCACTGATTAACTGGGTGGTCTTGAGCAAGGCAGTTCTCTGCATTTTAGTTCTCTCTTTCACAAAATGGGAAGAGAGTTGCACTGGATCAGCCAGAGTAAATCTTCCTCCTTATTTCCTAGCATCTGGTGAGCCTGGCTCTCCTGTTCCCATCCGTGAGGACCTCAGGTTTACAGGCTTCCTTCTCTGATCTGAACAGTGGGCTCTTCCTAGCCCAGACTTCGCTGGCTGGGCCTGGCCGGACTCTGTACCTACAAACCTTGCAGGAGGATGAAGTCCCTCCCATACCCCAAAGCAGTGCGGTGTTTTCATTTGAGTTTCTTCTACTTCCGGCAGAGTTCAGCTTCAGCTTCTTGATGCTTTTTTGAAAGAAAAGAAACTTGTCGTCTGGGCACTCGGTTTTAATTTTGTCTTCTTTGTTCTTAGGCATGTTGTAGAAAGCTCCCCTCTCCCAAGGATATTCTACTATATATTTCCATAATTTTCCTGCTCTCCCTCTCCACAAAATGCAAAGAAAATAACTGTCAACTTTTTTGCATATATAAATTTTAACAGCCCATACATGTCAACTGATCTTTTATCCAGGAAGGAAAGGCTTAGTTCAAGTGATTGAAAGTTGAAACGCTTAGGTTTTCATTCTCATTGTGTAACAGAGCACTGTGTGGACATGCTACGTTATGATTAGTTTATCAATTCCATTCCCCAAATCCACTAACTCTAATGAGTGCCTACTATGTGCAAGGGCAGAGTCCCTATTTTCAAGGAATGTATCTTTTACCAGGAAGAGTAAGGCAAATCTTCAACCAAGGACAGCACAAAATAGATAAATTGTGCCAAGTGCCTTAAAAGGGGTGCAAAGTACAGTTGACCCTTGACCAACCAGGTTTCAACAGCATGGGTCCACTTATCTGTGGATTTTTTTTTTCTATAAATATAGTACAGCACTCTAAATGTATTTTCTCTTCCTTATGATTTTCTTAATGACATTTTCTTTTCTCTAGCTTACTTTATTCTAAGAACAGTGTATGAAGCATAGACAAATTAAATGTGAATTGACTGTTTATGTTATCAGTAAGGCTGCCAGTGAACAGTAGGCTATTAGTGACGTTTTGGGGGGAGTCAAAAGTTATATGTGGATTTTCGACTGCACGGTGGGTCAGCGCCCCTAACCCTTGTGTTGTTCAAGGGTCAACAGTACTAAGTTCAAATATTTGGTTTGGGGTAAATCAGAGAAGGTTCCACAGAAGAGTTGCCTTTCAGAATGGACCTTGATAGGTAGAGTTTCAGTAAACGGAGAGGGCAAGAAGAGCATTTGGGGAAAAGACGCATAGGCACCTGTCCCTGTCTCCCGCACTACAAGCAGGAAGAAGCGTAGGAGGCAGCACGTGGCTTGGTCTGAGGATTACACAGGGATTGCAGCGATTATGTAAGGATGTAAGGCAGTTTGGCAAACTCTGCATGAGTGTCACACTCCCAATCCTCCACCCATGGGAGACGACATTAATTAATCACAGCCCACACCTTTCCAACCAACCTCAGGAGCTCCTTCATGAGATAGATCAATTTGCCATTCCTGGTGCAGGAGTGTGGAGATAAGTGAGGTAGAGCCTTGAATACCGTGTTGACTAGTTAGTAGTTAATTGGATAGGCAATGGGGAGCCATTAAAGTCTTGTAAGCAGGGGAGTGACATGGTGGGAAATGAGAGTTGTAGTTCAGGGTAATTAACTTGGCAGTGTTATTTGGGATGGATTAGAATGGTTATAAGACTGAAGGCCAGTTATTTGGAAGGTTATTGTAATGGTGTAGGTGAGCAATAATGTCTGGAACTAGAGTGGTGGCTGTGGAAAGAAGGGACACAGGTCACAGAGGTAGAATTTAAAGCACTTGGCAAGTACGTGAAGATGTGGAGAGCTAGGGCCAGTGGTGAGAAAGAGGAGTCAAAGCTCACTCAGAGGTTCCCAGGAATTACCTTGGAATAAGAGAAAACAAACCATCTTGTTACCATCAAGAGGGGAGCGTGGGATTGGCCAGGAGGGAGGGAAGAGTCTTGGAGAATTTGGGGAGGGAGAGAACAGTCTGCAAAAAAATGGATTTAGGTTTATCTCTTCTACAAAGCATAGATTTTCTAAGCCATCGTCTGTCAGAGAACTCAGTAGTGCAAAGTAAAATAACCATTTTTAAGCAAACACTATTGCCCTTTGTCAACGAGCAGAGCCTAAGGAAGGCTTCCATCTTTCCAAATATTTGAAAAATTGTTAAGCTTTAATTAGTAAGCAGGCAAGGGGCATGAGGGAAGTAAAATATATAAACCTAATCACTGTGCTTTCCAGGTTTCAAATGCTTCCCCAACCTGGGTAATTTACACTTTAGTAACAATGACTGACAGTCAAGGAATGTATCTAACTCACTTTTATTTTTCCCTTGGGGAAAGCACTTTCGGTCCCAATTGTTTTAAGTTGCAGAAGCAGTAATTGTTTTAGAGAGTTAGGAGGAATGGCTTTTTGGAGCTGGAATTTACTGCTGAAGGGAATATGGATTCTATCTTAGTTGACTAAGGTCACTAGGGCCATTTCCAGGAAGGTCTTTCCAGGGTGAACAAATACCAGCTTAGAGAAGAGCAAAGGAACCAATTGAAGGCTCAGGGGAATAGACTTAACCAGAAAAATGTTAATGAGTTGCTACTGGTACCTAAAAAGGAGCCAGGGGTATGTTTTGAGCCACTTGTATCCCAAATAGAATTATTGGTGAAATTTAATATGAAAAATTGTTTAAAAATATTTTAAAATAAATATGGAAGCAGTGGATATATTTTGAGATATTCACTTCCCCAGAGGCACTCGCTTATTTATTAAACTGTGCACTTTGATATATTTGTTTACTTAGAAAAGTCAAGAGTGACAAGATAGGTCAGTTGTATCAAGAACATTATTAACAGGCTAACCAATTGTAAATGGTGTGAAGGCTGTTCTGGAAATCTGTGCTTTGATGTATGGGGAAACCCACACATCTGATTTGGGATGGAGGAGACAATCGTGGCTTTGTTTGTAGGCGCCAACAGACAGGCTAAAGCCAGGGATCCTTGCAGAGACTGGATTAAGGTATCAGAACCGTTCACATCTCATTTACATCACTCCGAAGAGTGGACCACAGGTTTTGCTGATTTAACACACAGACCATGGCAAATAGCATTGTGTATCTGAAATCAGACCAAGATCAGTAACAGTAACACAAACCATGTGTGAAGTTTGGCATATAGAGGTTCCTCTTAAGCAATTATCTAACTAGGTCCCCCCTCCCACCTTATTTTTAAAAAGCCTTTTTCCAAACCAGGAAGGTAGAAAAAGCAAAATGTTCCCTACTTCTTTCTCTCATCCCAACCCCCTAAATACACATATTTATGCCACCTTCTGGTATATAATAATATTTTTTATCGTCAAAATTTGTGAGCTTTCTGAAAGGATGGTGGGGGTGTGTGTTAAAAATGTACCGATTTCATCAGTGTCTGGGCAGGCAAAAAGAACTGGTGAATCGAGTATTGAGGCAGAGAAGTCAGGCTACTACCACCTGAATGGTTTCCACTCATTCAATTTGTATTGTCCCTTCATATTGGAGTTTGGGGTCACGGTAATACTGATGCAATTCTCTACTTCCCTTGGATTTCATTAAACACCTACTGTGTGATGGGTATGTTTCAATGGAAGGGAGGTGCAGAATAATGTCTACAATGATGTGACTTATCAGGAGCTGTTAATTATCTGAATTCTATCATCCAGACATTATTAATGCCTCTTCAGTATATCTTTTATGGATGAGACTGTACATTTAATAGCAAAATGACCAGTGGATATTGACAATTAGCAGCCACACAGGAACTAGATGCAGTGTGGCATATTTCAACCAGCTTAGATAGTCGTCAACCAAACAGGCCAAAGTTTTCTTCAGTAGAAACTGCCCTGCCAAGTGGTTTCTGGATCCTTCTCAGAGGAAACAGCAAAGCGGCTGAAAGCCACCTCTTTCAACCACACCAGAAATTGGCTGTCCATGGCGATTCTAGACCCAAAATCTGTTTTAGACACAGATGTATCAAACTAAGTCTGGAAACCCACTGGACGTCCCATCCCGAAGTAAGAAGTGCCACGTCCCCCCCAACCTCCTCCTTCCTTGGGGTGTCTGTCGGCCCAGGTCGAATTCCTTTTTATTTTCTCCTCAGTCCTGGGGTGGGCTGGCAGGGAGCTACCTGCGATTCCCCACCGTGGATGATCGCATTTGTCTCTTCTCACGCCGCCTGCAGATGGGGACGAGTTCTGTTCCCGAGAGAGTCTCAGAAGTAGGCACGGAATCATCTCGCTGATCTTAATTTTGTCCCTGGGCTGGGCAAAGGGGAGGATCAGGGCAAGAGAGCCTCTCCCCTCCTGCCCCCCTCCCCCCCCAATTGGCAGCCAGTCGGTGGCTCTCGGTCTGGGGTCCGGAGGGTGGGGAATGTGGGTGTGGGGGCCGGCTGGAGAAGCTCTCGCTAGCGCTGCCTGTGGCCAGACCCGCCTCCCAACCCCTCTCGGGCGCACACAGACGTCCACCCAGACACACTCCGCGCGCTCCCTCGCGCTCTCGCTCGCCCGCCGCCGCCTGCTCTCTCCCTCCTGCTCTCCCTGGTCTCTTTCTCCCCCCTCTTTTTTTTTTTTTTTTTTGGTACCATAGAGTTGCTCTGAAAACAGAAGATAGAGGGAGTCTCGGAGCTCGCCATCTCCAGCGATCTCTACATTGGGAAAAAACATGGAGTCAGCTCCGGCAGCCCCCGACCCCGCCGCCAGCGAGCCGGGCAGCAGCGGCGCGGACGCGGCCGCCGGCGCCAGGGAGACCCCGCTGAACCAGGAATCCGCCCGCAAGAGCGAGCCGCCCGCCCCGGTGCGCAGACAGAGCTATTCCAGCACCAGCAGAGGTAGGAGGCTGCGAGAGGGGCTGAGGAGGGGGCGGCGGGAGCCCGGGAGCGGAGCGGGGGCCGGCCGGGAGCGGGCGCCCGGAGCGCGGGGTCCGGGGCCGCGCGCGAGCCTGCAGCGGCGCCCCGAGCCCGGAGAGCCCCCCTCCCCTCCCCCCTCCGCCCCCCAGAAATGTTGCAAACTTTTGCAGCCCGTTCTCGGGTTGCGGGAGGAGAGGGGGGCGGGGGAGGCGGCAGGAGGGTTGACAGCCGGCGGGCTCAGCCCCTGGCTTTGATTTTTCTGCAAAGAGAGGAGGAAAGCCGCGTAGCCCAAATTAAATACGCTCCCCCAAAACACAGAGAACCCGAGAGTGGGGGCCCGGGAAAGAAACTTTTAAAGCGGCAGTGTCCTTTTAAGAAGGAAAAAAAAATTCGTTTATGGCCACCCTCCTCCCGCTTTACCTTTTCTCCTCTTGACAGTTTCGGCCCCGGCTGCCTCAGACAGGGTGTGTTTTCGGTCCCCCGCAGAGCTGAGGGGGTGCGGGAGGAGTGAGCGACCTGGGAAGCCCCGGGGGGTGGCGAGGGGGCGCTCCTGGATCAGGGGGCGACGGGGGCACCTTCTCTGGAACACGGCGGTGGGTTTGGGATTTGGAGGAAGGGCTCCATGGAGGAAGGGGGGTGCGGGCGCGTGAGGCGCTCGCCAAGTTGTCTGGCGGGCGCGGCGAGGGGAGATCCGCAAGTTTGCAGACCCGGGGTTCGCAGCCCGGCGCCCAGGCTGGTGGGGGGCGTGTGCGCGCTAGCGCGCGGAGGGCGGTGGTGCTGTGGGGCGCTCCACGCGCATTCGGAGTGAGCGTCTGCAAAAGCAAACAAGCAGGAACAGAAAGCTCGAAATGCACCCAAACTTATTTCTGCCCTGGGAATCCTTCCCTCTCTGAGGTTCAAGCGTTTCTGCAAGAACCTGGGAATGGTCAGCGAGAGTTGAATGCTGGTTGGATAGTGCGAGAGATGTCCCCCCCCCCCCCCGAGCGATTTTTACACTTCATTTTGGAGCGTATGTGCGGGGAGGGGGGCGGGGGACTCCATTGCCCCCTCCTTGCTTTTTCCTAGTCAAAGTCGAGTGTTGGGGAAAGCTCACTCTCTCTCTTTCTTAAAGGTGTCGGAAGCTGATGTGGGGGGTTTTCTTGGAGGTGGGGGATTATTTATTTGATTGCGCCTGGAGTTTGCAAAGAACAGGAGGAAGCTACGGCTTTAATTACTGTTGTAAATAATGTATAAATCACGCCTGTCACTCCGGAGGAAGCAGGCTCGCGCGAGCAGCCCAAGGGCTGGGGATCAGGAGGATCTCCAGCCCGGGCTTGGGCACTGGCCCAGCGCGCCCCCTCCTCTTGCCACTCGGCTTCTGGCGGCGATTGGGGAGGGCTGGAGAGAGGCAAGTGGGGGCCCGGGAGCCGCTCCCTTCCTCTCGATGTTATAGTTGGGAGGTAGGAATATGGCTGATCATGTGCTGGCTGTTTTACAGTATTCCTCTCCCCCCCCCCCCCTTAGCCACACCCCCTGTCCGGGAGCTTTCCCATTCACGGAATTCGAGTACAGTAAAAGCCATCAGGATGACACACACGAAAAACATTTAATTAAAGGCGATTTCCGAGGAGTGAACACGCCGAACCGCGGTTTCAGCGGAAGGGGGGGGGGGTGCAGCAAGGGACGGGAAGGGAGGGAGGGGGATCAGGGCTGGGGGCCGGGTCCTGCCGCCAGCTCGGTGAGTTTGTGTGTGGAGAGCTTTTGGCTGCAAAGAGTATATTTAGACCCTGAGACGGTGGATTTGGAATGCGAGCGGGTTATGTAACAGGGTTAATCAGAAACACTGGAGAAAATCCCCTTCATGTGTTTCTGAGTTTTTTTTTTTTTTTAAAGGGGGGGACATAATATATATAGGAAGCCACACTAATTTCTGATTTGTGCTGTCACCCCCCCCTTAACCTCGCCCTCCCGTGTGTTATTAGCATCTTCAGGTGTCATTCTTGCCAGAAGGTGTTCTTGCGAGAGATCAGGGTGGCAGCTGCAGAACCGACTAACAAATCCGTAACTTGCTGTTCTTGCAAATTATATAAGGCTGGGGCATTCAGTACCACTAGCCCCCTAGGCTTAGCAAAAAGGGGAGAGGGACAAAGTAGGGGTGGGATGCATCCTGCACAGCTGACCTGTTGACCTTTGTCCCCTTGCCCCCTAGAGGGTCACCCTCCACTCACTCTTCTTTGAACCAACCCCCTTGTCCATCTCTCCAGAGATTTACTAGGGGGAGGGAGAAGAGGTAAGGCCCAAACCCTCAACTCACATCCTGCACGCAGGCACTAGGTTATATAACAGTCTGAATGGAAAAAGGAAGGTCAGAGATGGAGGCATCCTTTAGTGAACACAGCAGTAGTAATAGCTTCCAGAAATTATGTGCATTTGCAGACTTTAACCTCAGATGTAGTGTCTGCTCCTCAGGGATCCCAGTCTTTGTGTGTGTGACCTAGGGAGAAAAAGAATGTGTAAGTATGCCTGGTAGATGAGAGTGATTTGAAAATGGGAAATGTTTGGGTTTTCAGATGATGTAATGGAGTTGGCAGAATATGCAAGTCGGCTCCCAGAGTGTAAGCAGCAAGAAAATGGGAGCTGGCATCCAGTATTAATGTTGCATAAATTACAATATCGGAAAGAAATTCACCTACACACTAGGTGATTACGCCTTTTTAATACTTAAAACAGAAAGGCACACAACTCAAAAGGAAAAGCAAACATCATCACCTTATAATTAGCATTTTCAACCTCAAGGAGGATTGAATGGAGTTCTTGGCATTGGGTGACGTGGGAAGCTTTTGGATTTGGGAGATGCTTTCCAGAGAAGTAGCAGGGTTAGCCTCCAGCCAGCCAGTGTTTGCAGTCCACAGAAATTGTGGTCTGGATTCTCGTGACATTGAGGTGACCTCATGAGACATTACCAGGTAGACTTGAAGCTGTTGCTGAATGCCAAACTCCTGGGAGTCCCCGCGTGAACAGGCTTCGTACCCTCGGTGCCTGCGCTTCCAGAATCAGATGTGTGACTTTGTAATCTGAAAGGTGGACCTTCCCCTGTCCTTAAAACTAGCAGGGAATGTTCGCAGTTGTAATGAAACTGTCCCGTTTTCTAGGTGGTACTGATGATGGCTGGTGTCATTCAGTACCATCTTTACAACCCAACGAAAGGCAAAAAAGAAAGGCAAGAGGCAACATGGGAAGTAAGAATGAAGCAGGGGAAAAAAAAAAAACCACAGCGAATCTTTAATTTAACAAGGCTTTCAGGGACTTCAGGGAGCCATAAGCATTGTGACATAACTGTTGTTAAAAACCCTTTTCCAGAATCTCATTATTATATGCATGCCAGAAGCTTACATATTTCACTTTCCTAAAGTTATCCTCACAGGGCTGTGTGGCTCGCACTTGGTTTGGAACACCAGTGTTACAGGTTGAAGGCTTTTAGGGCAGGCCGACCTAAGGAAAAAATCGAAACCAAAGATGGGATTAATACTGAAAAGCTCAGTTGGGTTGAGATTGAACCCCCTGGAGGCTCAGCTTAGATTGATTTAAAATCAGTTAACAAGGCCTGTAGTTTCTTTGTAGCCCTGAGGACTTCTAGAACCATGTAAACCAAAGTGCTTGGCCTTCACGTCCCCCTTTCTGTCTTGGCTGATTCACTTTCAGGTAGGTGTCCTTCTTGCCTGGTAGTTTATAGCCTTTTCTAGACATTGATTCTCAGATCAACTTTTCTGACACGGACCAGGCTCTCCACAGTGACCAAGTGATGCCCCATAGTTTGAAAGAGCTCCTGGCTGGCATAAAATCCTTTGCCGGAGGGATGGAATAATTGTTTTTTAAACTAAGGGACTTTAATTTTCCGGTAAATTGCTCATAAAAACATTTATAGTTATACCCTTAAAAAATGTACTGGAATAGTTTTAGAAAATGCATTTGGTGATAGTTATGATAACCTTTCCTGTTGCTTCCCCCGTTCTTTCTTAAAAAGAATTGAATTATTAATCCAGAAGTCAAATCCTGAGTGGCCAAAACCCGTGTATAGCAGACTCTTTTTATGTTAGCCACCTGCTGGAATTTTCCAGAACCTACCAGCATCATGAGGAGCCTTGGCTTTTTCTAGAAAATGCCTCCATTTCCAAAACTGAAATACAGAGTCTGCGTGGAAGCCCCCTCCCCTGAGACCCTTAAGCTCATGTTTTCAAGGCAGCAGAGGTGGGGGTGGGGGTTGGGGGTGCAGCACACACTGCTCGTTCCACACCAGGCTCCTGGGTGGGATTGCAGGGAGGTTCGAGAATATTCATTGTTGTGCCTCCAGGGGGAACGTTGTGAGGATTTGGGGGGACAGCTGCATTGCTTTTGGAAGCAAACTGACCCCTGTCCAGAGCTAACCGTTGGAATGCAAGTGAGACAAGCCCATGGCTCCTTCTCCTTGGCCAACACTCTTGTCACTTCTGACTGGAGATGCACACTTTTCTCCACGTGTTCCCATTTTTGCTTCCAGAAAGTTGGGGTGTGTTGTTGGAAGGGCAGACTTGAGTTGGATGTCACTGAAAATTCTGTTTGTGTGGTACAGTCTCTTACGGCTTAGGCCACTTTTTCTGAGAGTGCTGCTCCTCTCTGCCCTCATCCGTGGTCTTAGTCTACTTGGTGAATTGCGCTTCTTAGGTTACATATGTACTTACGTGTTTGTAGAAGCAGAATACATAATGACATTTCAGGTGTCTGGGGAAAAATTATAATGTGACTGCCCTTGTGCCAGAGACTAAAATTTTGTAGAAAACCCAGCTCTCTTCATATGACATAACCTGCTGCGTAAGCTCTTTGTCTTCCGTGAGCCATTGTTCAGGTACTCTGAGGTAGACGTCGTCCACTCCCTCAGGGAGATTCCTGACCAATCATCCTAGATTAGTGATAGATTTTTCCAGAGCAACAACAGTCTGCTTTGAAAGGCCTTAAGGTACCAGAGTGAACCCCAACCTAGAATGTGGAATATCTTTCTGAATATGAAGACTGTCATCCTCACTGAGAATTTAGGAACAGTCTCTCTCTCTCTCTGTCTCTTTTTCTCTGTATTGTTCTCTCTTCTATCATACAAAGAAATGTTTTGTTTTTTTTGCGGGGGGGATTGTGTGTATGTGTGCGGTGTGTGGTGTGTGTGTGTGAGAGTCATAATGGGAAGTGTTAGTTTGGAAACGAGCTTTTCAATTTTTCACCCACCTTACTAAACCGTACGTTAAGAGAAATAAAAGCGAATCATTTTGAATTAATGCTTTAAAAAAATTCTCCAGATAATCAGTGTTCAAGTTTCGATTAATATACAGTAAATCATGATTTTTCTATAAGAGTGCCAAGGCATTACTGGTGAATTCGTTTTTCTGGCTAACAGTAGATTCACCGGATCTTTCCTTTTTCTCTTTGAATATGTTTCTTTTAAATGTACTGGTCCCCTTTCCTACCCTAGGAAAGAACATGGGGAATGTAATCGAATCTTTCTTTGAGGTTTGAGGATCTTACAGTGCCATAGGGTCACTGTTCTGAGGATGAATTCTGATTGTACATTATAGAACTGTGAATGGGGACAGTGTCAGAGACTGGACTAAATCTGCCCTGATCCCAGCTTGGAAATTGTTTTCTTTTTCTGTTAAATCCTCAATATCAGTATGTTTTGTTATTTGCCTTTCTTGGTCTCTAACTTGCAAGGAGCAAAACGGAAATTCACTTTAATTAGTTGATTCTGGTTAATTGAGGTTTTTACTTTCTAGGAAAATTTCAACCTGAATCTAGAGCCTTAACGCTTTCCCTGCAGTTAACAGAGGATGTAAAATCATTCTTAGATGTTTAGGAAGACTGTTGTATTTACAAATAAGTTATGTAATGTATTACCATAGCATTGTGTAACTTCACCCCCATGTAATAATGGTAGATAGAAATATCGGCTAATTTTGCCTCTTCCTTAGATATATTGAGAGGGTATCATAAATCCTAAAAACTAGGAAATTCTAGGGTTGGAGGGAAGACTTTCAAGAATATCAATAAAGAACATTTAAATTCCCCCAAAGGAAATTCTCCTTTAAAGCCTGGGCCTTTGTTCACTGGACCAGTATGGAAAGCATGCCCAGGATGGCACCATCAGAGGCTGACTTTCTCAGGGCCGTCCCATGTGATTTAATGGTAGTCTGTGGTTATCTTCTGATATCCTTGTTGTCCCAGCATTGCAAATTCATCTTAGGGGTCGTGGTGTTCTTTTGTGACAGCCCAGTTATTATTATTATTATTGTTGTTGTTTTGGTTTTGGTGTAAGAACATCAAGGAAATTGTCTAGAGAAGTCCATAGAAGAGGGGAATGGAGCGTGATGAGGAATAACTGAGCCACGTCTCGTGGCTTGCTTTTTGTTCCCGCTTTTATGTGCCAACATGAAAAGGAATTGCAGGTAACAGTTCCCTTGTGTTGGTGGAAGAACAGTTGTTTTTTGGTTTTTTGCCTTTTTTTTTTCCTTTCTTCCCCTACCAGATGTTTATGGCCTTCATTGACATGTCATTATTACATTACAGACTGTCTTATCACAGTATGTCCTGTGGCACATTGACAATGGCGTGGCCCTGTGGTTTCCTGGTGATTGTCTCGTCCACAGAACTGAGGCCCTGGTGGCCAGCTGCAGAGCCCTCTCCAGGGTCCACCACCAGTTGAGAGTACAGGTCTCCCACACCCTTGAAGGTGCCGGAGGACTGCAGGCCAGGCCAGGGAGTTTCTGTACCAGCGCTGTTCTCCCCGAAGCTCAATCAGAGGCTGGAACAGAGTAGGAATGCGTGTGGCATAGAGGATTTATAATCTCCCAGCTTCGAATCATCTCTAGCAATGTTACTGGGCATTTGCGTTTTGGTTGTGAACTATCTGAAAGTTTTTTGAAATAATCAGGAAGTTCCCCCATTCACGAACCGACCATCATAGATGAAACTCGTCTGGGGTGCAAGGAAGGGTGCTACTTAGTACAGGATCCTCAAGCCTGTGAAAGAGGCAGCGCACTGTTAAAAATACCTAGCTTACTTCGGGGGAGGATTTGGCTGAATACTGATGAAGTTTATGAAATATGAATGTAGTGAAGTTGCTGTACGTAAGTGGTAGGCGTGTGTGAAAGAAGTAAGAAGAAATAAAATTGTGTATAAATGACACTCTGAAACTTGATGGAATTGTATACGTGACAGGAATGGTGACGTTTGGGTCCGTGCTTAATGGGGGAAAATAAACTGACTTAAAAATCTGTATGTCAAACTAGATGTGGGGCTAAAAATTACAGAATATAAAATTATTGGACTTATGAGCAAAGAGCGCTACCAAGGATAAATAGGCAGATTGCAAAGGATAGAGGTGAAACAGAATGGGGGGAAAATGAGGGGCCAATACTTGAATTTATAATGAGCTATGGTAATCACTGCTTTAAATAATCCAGACTATTAACTACTGTGCTGCTAGGTAGAGAATGAGTTATAGCCAAACAAAAGGCATAAATATGAATTTTAGGTTGTATGGGAGAAATCCTCTTGATCCCCAAAGCATAAATGCATGTACTGAGAAGCAAAGCTGCACACGATGTAATTTTTTTCTGTCTTGTCCTGATTAATTGACAGCCAACTGTATGCCTCTTTCCTGAAGGTGACTTTACAATCTCCAGACACAGACATTTCTCTCAGAAGTGGAGTGAAGGAAGGAGAACCACAAGCTAAAGTGTGTTTCACTGGGTGAAGTATTTTGGGGGAGAGATAAGAAGGGTACAGTAGGGGAATGGAACAGTGCATACAGGGATGAAGAATGCCTGTTTGGGGCTGGGGAGTGGGGGCTGTGAACGAGGAAGGGAATCCCTAGAGGGAAGGAGACTTCGGTGCAAAGGAAAATGAAATTAGCATTGACTCTGAAATGGCGGGGAATGTGACTTTCTAATTTTAAATTATCTTTAACAAGGGCAATGAAAAGAGGAAAAGTTGACACTTTGAGAAGTTATGACGAACTTGTCGAGAATGCCAATTGACAAAGGCAGGTAAGGGAATACTTGGAAACACAGAACAAGAACAGTTCTGAAGGGCATGATGATCTGCTTCCTAGTGTGTTAAGGGAATTGGCGGGCATGTTTATTGACTCTTCCAATTAGTTTTAAAGAAACCTGAAGAAATGGACAAAGATGGAGAGAAGACAGCCAGATGTGATTCTGCCCTTCCAGAAGCAGAGAAGCTTCTCTCATCCCATGTGATCGATGCCAGGCCTGGGGAAGACTGTCTGTATAGCAGTTAATGGATTTTCAACATACAAATCACAGAAGAAACAAGGGTATATTTAGCAAATCTAAAAACTCTTCAATAAACTGTATTGCTTTTCATTTTCACTGTACAGTCCATGAAGCCAGTGTATGGTAAGAAGGCCGCGGTAAGGATACAGCGGTGTACTCCCAGGAACGTTTGTGTGATGGGGATATTATGTCTGAAAGGACAGGGCATCTGGGAGGATGAACTGCCCGTAGCTCTCAATTGTCTGGGTAATGAAGCATTGGAAAGCAAAGGCAAGGGAAACACTTTGATAATCAAAAATGATTCTTCTTTTAGTGATCATATTAGTTGACCAGTGAGGACAAGTGTGAAGGTGCGAGTTGCATTTTACCCTCTCCAGCACCTGTGGCCCACTTCTCACGAGCACGTGGATGCAGAAAGCGGGAACCCTGACAATTTCTGGAGACCAGCCTGTTAACCTGGAAGATGTAAAATTTCACAATTTCACAGCGTGAAGGAGGGAGGTTGAAGATTAGCGAGGCTCTCACATTTCTTGAGGCCCTGCAGAGAATCAGTAGAAGAACTGATGCGACGCCGAGAGGCTCTAGCAAGTTTCCTAATCTCGAGCTCGAGGGTGTGTGCTCGGTGTGGGGTTGCTTGCTCATGATGCTGGCATTGGTCATGCTTTATTAGCCCAAAGCCTGTTAGAGCCAGAAGGGGCCTTATGAATCATCCAGCCTGGCCTTCCTCCTTTACACTGACGCCCACAGAGGTCTAATAATGCATTCGAGGTCCCATTCCCAGTAAGTAGCAAGGGATACGGGTCTTCTACTTCCAGTGTTCCTTCCACTCATGTGCTGTGCCGAGATGTTCAGAAATTCCAGTAAGGTACAGAATCAAGTTCCTGCCCCGCCAGGGGAGCCCCCTGAGGATATTACAGTGTGTACGCAAGTTCATCCAGCAGGAGGTGGTTGACGTGTGTGGAAGTTTGTGCACGTTATGTTGGTTGTGCATCAGTAATGGAACATTATCAATAATGGTTATGTTTTCCAGTCCCACTGGGCATTTTTATTATTGTAGCAAAATTAGCCAGTGAACTGGTGGTGGTATTAATAGAGCCATTCTAAAGCATAGTGAAGATAGTGCTGGTGCCTCACGCGCTGCTGAATCGGTAGAACGTAAAATAGAGGCTCTGGAGGGGAGCATCTGGTCGTTGGTCCCGGCCTGGGCAGTGATGCTTGCTGGAGCTGGACGCAGCCAGAGGGTAGAGTGGGGGAGGCTGGCTCTTGGCAGCTGCCGCTTTTCCCAAGACAGAGGGTGTAAGGCAAGTGCCTTTTACAGAGATGCTCAGCAGCAGTTCCACCCACGGAATACTATGTAGCCAGTAAAAATCCTGTTGTAGTAGAAAAATCTCTCTTGATAAGGGAAAATGTCATCTGTTCGTGAAAAGTAATAACCTTCATAGCAGTGTGCACAGAATGACATCATTTTTGTAAAAAACTATAGTGTGTGTGTATTAATATGGACCCACGTACACCTTAATGATGAAATGATAAAATGGTTATTTCCGGTGTGAGTTTTTTTTCTTTGTGCTCTTCTGTATTTTTTACTTTCCTGCCTTATACGTGTATTACTTTTGTAACTAGAAAAAAATAAATCTTACTTTTTTTTCTCCAAAAAGATTGTTTGTATGTTGTGAAACTGGGGGTACTTTGAAGGAACTAATTCTGAACTTAGTATGTTACGTGGAATTTCTTGATGTTTTAGGATGGGCCAAGTTTACTGGCCCAAAGAGTAGTACCTCTGACAGTCACATTCAGCCAGGATTGTCAGGAAGACAAGGGTCATTCAGCTTGAATTTGAAAAAGAAATGTCCAATATTGGAATTTCTTGCCCCTCTAGGGCAGTGTCTTTTTTTTTTTTTATAAAGATTTTTTTTTAATTTATTTATTTGACAGAGAGAGAGATAGTGAGACAGGGAATACAAGCAGGGGGAGTGGGAGAGGGAGAAGCAGGCTTCCTGCCAAGCAGGGAGCCCGATGCGGGACTCGATCCCAGGACCCTGGGATCATGACCTGAGCTGAAGGCAGACGCTTAACGACTGAGCCACCCAGGCACCCTAGGGCAGTGTCTTTTAAGTGTTTATACCGTGTCCTACAATGAGAGGAAATAATACGTTGTGAGGCCGTGCGCGCGCACACACACACACACACGTGCGTGCGATAAACTTTTCATGTAAAACATTTATCCTTTACCTGGGATGCACTGTTATTTTTGCTCTATTATTTAAAGACAAGATCCAAATCACGAGCCACCAAATTGGTTTCATGATCTATTTATGGGCTGCCTCTCACAATTTTAAAAACTCTGTCCTGGGCATGAGGTAGAAGCAGCCTTTTTGTGAGCCGTGGCCTGGCAGTCGGAGGCATGGAGTGTTTCCACAGTAACTGATGTTGGACTCCAGGTGTTACTCATTATGATTTCAGGGAGGAGGTGGGGGAGGGAAAAATAATGTAAATACTTATTATTTGTCATGTGGTATCTTCATGCCACTTTTAGCACATGCTCGTTAATATCCTATTACATTTAGGCATGTATCCGCCAAGCCTGGCTTGGAATGTAGATTCTGGGATCCCCTTTGCTTGGATTTGATGTCACTGAGGGAAAGCCTGAGGGTGGCATTCTTTCATTCCACGAAGATTTGCTGAGCACCTTGTGTGTGAAAAAGCAGCACATGAGAGAGGGCAGATCCCCGCCTTCCTGGATCTTGCATGCTAGGGGTGGTATCTCTCAGTGAAGCCCAAGGTCTGGGTTACTTCTGATGATTCTCTTCTCCATGTGTCTTGGCCTTGGCCTTCTTTAGTCCTGTTCCTCATACATGCGTTCACCCTTCCCCTCTTCTTCCCAACCCCGTCTTCCATCTTCTGCCCCTATCTCTCTTTGCTTCTTGAAAGCCTGCAATCGTTTTCGATAAGGCTAGGAGATAAGACTCACCCTCTCCCTCCTGCAGTTCTCGTGACCCCTGTCTTCCACAGTTGTCAGTCATGTGGACCTGGCTCATGCAGTAAGCATGCAACCTCTTTCTTTGCCAGGTTCCTTTCTGTTATCTTACAGTGTTACTTCCCAGAGAGGTAACTAGTCTCCCCAAGAAGACCAGCACCATGGTTTATTCTTTCACTCCTGCACAGTGCTTTGCAAAAAGTAAGTACCCCATCAACTGTGCAGAGAATCTCTGTCACATTGCCCTGCCTCGCCGGCCACTTGTTCAGTAGATTGAGCTCTGTGCTTCCCGACTCAGCAAGCACAGCTTCTGCTTGCTTCAGCTTCCAGCTGGGCCTTGGGTTTGGACCCGGCTGCCCCTGTTTGTCCTATTTCTGTCTCTCTTGGAACCACCAGTCCTCCCCTCAGTGGCAGGTTCAGGCCTGCTCCGGTCTTGAGCAACTCAGATGAAGGCCGGACGTGTTGGGAAACAGCATGCATGCTTATTACAAGCATGCTGGGAGCGAGACAGACGTGGGCCAGAGGCCCAGGTATGCTGGGTGCTAGCCGTGTGACCTTAGGTAAGTGCATTCACCGCTCAGTCTGTTTTTTTCATCGCTTGAAAACTGGAGATGTTTATGAGGCTGGCTTCCCAAGGTGGTTGAGGACCACCTGTGATTAGGCATGTGCGGCCCCTCGCAGGATGCCCGGCACGCCTGGTGTGTGATGGTGGTGATAATGGGGCACATACAGAAACAGGGGCCCTCTGGCCTCCTCTCACCTGTCTCTTCTTCAGGTGTCTGACTCCCTTTCCTTCGATCACTCCTCCTCGGTTCTGATGGGTTGCTCTACGAAATAAGCAAGAGTATGCGAAGGCATCGAAAACCTTACTGCTAGTTCCCTTTCCTGACTGGCTCTGCCCCCCTCACTCAGCTCAACCACCGCGGGTTGGATGCTTATGAGGATGAATCCCTGAAGCTCAACCCCATTAGGCACTTGGGCTCCCTGAGCTGACACCCCACAGCCTCCGCTGAATCAGAAGAGGGTCCCTGTCTGCCTGTCCCCTCTCCCCACCCTTGCTGTTCCTTCCACACTGCCGGCTGCCTCCTCCAACCACTGAGGCCGTGGCAGCGCCCTCCTTCCCACTGTGCTTCGGAGCTCTCTCACGCCTCATTTCTCAGCAACCCGTCATCATTCCCTGCCTTCCCTTCCCCTTCACTCACTTTCTCCTCCCTGCCAAAAAATTACATTGGAGAAGCTTGTCTGTGAGGGTTCCATTCAACTTGTTCTGCATTAATGCCCCACTACGGTGACCCACTGCTGAGTCTTTCACTTGTAACGTAATCTAATAATTTACATGCACTTTGCAAGCAATACTGTCAGAGACTCACAACCTGCTCGAAATTGCTCTGCTGTTACAGTAGTTGAGCTGATGAGAGAGAGCAGTGTGAGAAAGAGTAGTTACGGGTACCATCATGGGGTTGGGTAAACCTGGGGAAATAACGTTAGCATAAGGGGAGGATGTGCTGATGAATTAGAATATCCTTTCTTAGAGAATCAGTTAAACTTGCTGAGGGTCCTGTATTGATTTTGGCTTATAATTGGACTAGCATAGGTCAAAGTATAGTAGGTAGAAGCATTAGCAAGGAAGAGGAAGTGAACCTAAAGTGGAAACTCGTCTTTCTTGGATGTGAAAATGTTTTTGTTTCGATATATTACATGACTTTTACAGAGTTAATTGACATTCTGATTAGGTTGTTTTATTTCTTTATTCGATGTTGGAAGCCAGTTCTAATAACGCAGTAGCCATGAAAATAGAGTAATGCCATAGTGATGGTGCCATTGTAAAGCAAATTACACCATTAATTACGCATCTATTTGGTCTAATTTGTATTGTGATAGTGTGGGTAATACACACGCACATACAGGCGTAGAGTGGCTGGATTTTAAGAAACAGACTCTAGCTGAGAAGCCCCAATCCTTTAATATCGAATAGTTAGTGAAAATAAGCCATTGTTTAGTGAAAAAGTTCATCCTTCTATGTTTAAATGTAAATGTAGATGTCTGTATATACACGCACATACACACATGTCCATACACATATATACACAGGCACACACATATATCGTGCCCGTCAGGCAGATCCAGAAAATCCGTGATGACTGTGGCATAAAAATGCTTGCCTTCTTTTTGCCTTACAGCAAGTTGGCTGACCTGATGGGGAGGGATGTTAGTTATGGCAGGCGAGGTCAATATGGGATCTAGGACAGGGTTTGCAAACAAGGCTTCGTCTATTTGTTTCAGCCTCTTGGTCCTTATTACCATGTCTGAGAACCTCTATTCATTGATATTTATCAGGTTGGGAAAGAACCATTAAGGCCCGGGAACGAGGGTCATTGTATTTTGTCACTTGTCTCCCAAGGAAGGACACTGGCCAAAGGACTTCCTCCACAGTGCCACGATAGAGGCATATTTTTATGCCTTAAGTCATTAGCTAACCCTAGAGCAGAAACAGGATTTGAGAAGGCAGCATCCAGTGTGGTTGCTCCCCGTGGGACATATAAGTTAGAAAGTCCATGACTCTGTTAGGCTTTGCCGTGGTTCCAGTGACATTATCCCTTCACTCCTAAGAGCACTGGTATGGGTGGGGTCATTTGGCATTGCGTGTGAGTTTCCAGCTCTCAGGGAGGTATCTCCAGGGGGCTTCTGAAGAGTTACCTGGGGCATCTCCAGGCTGAATTGCTGCATCCAAGCCTCCGTTCCTATGTTTTTGTGCAGTGGCCATCTGGAAGGGATTTTCCTGCAGTGGCCTTCTAGAAGAGATTTTATTGTCATCTCCATCTCTTCCCTCCCTCTGTTCCAGAGTTTTGCTTTTGCACCATTGTCAATACCACCCCCTGGTAATCTGGAACCTCAGAAGGACCTCATCCAAAGAGATGAGAGTATATGTAGTTTAGAATATATTTAACTTTAATATATATCATGCTTGCTCTGATGACCAAAATGTTGAAGGCAAATTTGCTTCTTAAACAACTGTGCGCTCGCTGTATCACAGATCAACAATGTTGACTTTAAACTCCACGAGCATTTGAGGAGAGAGCACCCAGCATCAATGCCTGGCATGTGGATTAAGGATGTATTTAGTGGAGAAATTTTATTGCACACCTCAATGAAAAAGTACCAATATCCTATTGCGCCTAATAAAATGTTATAATGAAAATGACCATGGTGTTTGACAACATCCCTTTATTAATTAGTCTTTTCCATTATTATTTCTTAGGAGCAAACACACTCTGGTTTTATCGCTCGTTAGTTAGAGTCCTTATTGAATTCATATTTTGCTGCTTTGGTGTGTCTGTCTTCTCACTGGTCTCAGTTCCTGGAGGGCAGCGTTGTAGATTGTCTCGAGTCTTCTGTCCCATTTCTCTGTCTGTCACTTGGGCGTTCAGTGAGTGCTCTCAGGATGCCAGTGACCGTGCAGTTTAGAATCAATATGTGCAAGCAGAGGGAAGACGGGGATGAGGCAAGAACATCTCATATTCTTCGAAAGCTTCAGATGTTTAAAGGTGATGCCATATATTGCCTTCTTTCCTTCATTCATCAAGTATTTATTGAGCACTTACTGTGTGTCAGGTCACGTGCCGCTCAGTGGAGGTACAAGTTAAGGGAGTTGATAGGCAGGAAAGACACAGTAATTTCAAAAAATGTGGAGAGTGCTATAACCAGAGATACTTACCTAATATGTAGCACACAGAAGAGGGAGAACTCCCCTCATGAGGGGTCAGGGAAAGCTCAATGAGAAAGGTCGCTTCGCCTAGTTTTGGGGAAAATGTGGAGAGATTTACCTCAAAGACAAAAAGTGAGAGCC